TCTTCATAAACGTGTAGGAAAAACAGGCTGAATGAAGTTGAAATGGTAGACAAAGTGGATGGAAAAAAAAAAACCACAAACTTTAAAGCACAAGAAGAAAGGATCCATCCTGAATTTACTGGTATGCAGTGCTTTTATTTATAGCCTGGAAGATGGAACAGAGTACACCTATTAAATCTGCACATTACAAAGCCAAGATCTACAAATACACTGATGGGCAGGACTAAATTCATTTAAAAACAATGTAACTTGATGCACAAGTTTCTAAATTGGAGTAGGAATAATTAACTGCATGTTGCAAAACAAAAAAAACCAATCATCATACTGAGAATTATAAACAGGTACATACACCCAGGCACAAACAAAACCTGCCAATTGACCTGGAATTGATTAGCACCTCAGTTACCGTGCCCTGTTTAGGTCATCACACTTCTAAGCAGTGAAGAATGACCAAGGGAAGAGAAACAACAACAACAACTGGTGATCTAGAGGTTATGAGAAATGGTTTAAGAATCTGAGATCTAGCCTCAAGAATACTGAAGAGAAACAAACTGACAAGTATGTAAAAGCCTTGTTCAAAAACATAAAAGAGATAAACAATATATGATGAACTGCTACAAGACTGAGAATAAAGACTTGAAAAATTTTGACAGTAAAGATGCTCTAAGCAGTGGAATAGGCTGCCTTGGGAGATTCTGGCATTTCTGTAACCACAGTTACAGGTTAGACATGTCTGACACTGATTTTTCATTAAAATTATCCTATTTTAAGAATAGACTGGATGAGATCCTTTCCATTATTATTCTTCTCTTATAGTAGTTGAGTACTTCAAGAACATTAATGTATTAATTTTTAAGATAACTTAAAAGACAAGCCTCCATTTCACAGGCAGAATCCAAGAAAGAAAATAATATCTGAGTATCTGCTAATTTGAATGTTAATCTCGTGTTTTGTTAATACTTCACTTTTATATAGTGAGCTGTACTTCAAAAATGAAGAGCACTGAAACCATTTGATCCCAAGAGGTCAGAGGACAAGTTAAGATGGTTACCAAGAAATAGAAATCACCTTGGAAAAGTCTGATTTAACCTACTTATTGACGGTAACAGGACAGGATGGGGAATTTTGGTTCCATTTCAATCTCTTAAAAGGAAAGTGATCTGTAACACCAAACATTTCTATACCTATTAAACTGTAACAACATGTACATACAGAACCTGCTTTTTCAGCAGCCTCTACATCAACTAATGCGCCACCTAAGTCAGAAAAATCACTTCCCTGCTGAAAGTCAAGATTGTGTTTCAATGCATGGAGACACTAGAGTGTTCTTTAAAAAGAAAAACAAGAGTTCAATACTAGCATTTTCTTTTCAGGTCTGATAAAACACTTCTCAGTTTTGTTGAAGTTTACAGCTCCAGGCACCAAATATCAAAAACTTTAGTCCAAATGGCTAAATATCTGTTGAAGTTGGGGTGGGGGGGGTGGGGGGGGGAAGCCAGAGAGTGAACAGTGTTATAATAAGTATTCAGCAATCATCTTAATGTTAGACAATGGCACAAGCCACTGAATGACCTGAATTTAAAGTCTCAGCAGAAAAAACAGGATTTAACATGGATGAGAAGAAAGGGCTTATCTGCAAGAACAGTTTAGAAAAATCTAATATTTATCAAATAAAAAGAGGAGCTTTATCTTGAGCAAGAGGATGCTTTGAATTGCAACAAAGAGTAACCAAAACGAGCCTGCAGTTCACCATGAAGCTGCACAGCTTTACTATGAGCTGGACATCACAGAGATCCAGAAAGGGCTTGAAAAGGAGGACGGTTCCCTAGAAAAACAGCTGTCGTAGGGCTGTCCTTCAGAAAGAAAGTGACTGCTATCCTACCTCCATCAGTGCCCTGCAAGTGTAAAGCTCCTTCCTTAGAAGTATTTGTATGACAGTGAGGCCTCATTCATGGCACTAAAAAGGAGCGCTGCTTTTGTTTCAAGACACCTTCTTCCTCAATCCTCATCTGGATAAGGATTTATTTTCATTTGGCAGTCACAAGATTATTAAGAGACAAGCATTAGGTGAAAGATAGCAGCATCACTGATGTTCGTGATGCTAAAGAATCTCCAGTAAATGACTGCAAAACTGTAGCCTTAAAAGCAATCAGCTTAGATTGATGAAGGTCCCACTGTGGTTCAAAAGTGACCTTACCCCTACTGACCACTGTCTTCCTCCTGCTGCCCCTGGCATTCACGTAGCTATGTCACATCAAGCCAATCAGGGAGCTGAGCTAGCTGAATGCTAACCATATACATTTTTTTTTATTAGCAGTACTTTTTGCTTCCAGTCGTATTAGCTCTCTACAGAGCCATACAAGCACAAAGCTACCATGGTAGAGGTGGTAGATATGCGTACAGGAAAGGCATGGGTAGGGAAAAGTAAATTGCCCCTTTCCAGGGCAGCAGAGAGCTATGGCAAGGTTTAACGACCAGCTGAAGTTGATCCAAGATTTCTTTTCTTGGATAAACCAAAGACTGTAGCATCAGAGCAATATTTACACCCTTGGATGATATGGTTAACTAACATTGATTTATATGCTCCAAACCCAGAACATTCCTTGGAAGTTAGATAAACCACACACAAATTGCAAGTAATTTTTGAACAGTCTATAGAGCCTCTATGTAGTTACAGGACAGAAATATTTATTGCATTTGGCATGGAAGTTGCAGTCTGTGAACACTGGGCAAAAAAACAGAAATGGGTGAGCACTAGAGCACCAGATAGCAAGCAAATTCTTTCTTTTCCTTTCCTAATAAATTATTCACAAAGGTGAACAGCTGTCACACTGACATTTCAGATCTGAAATATAGTTAAGAGCAAGTTATAACTAAGGCAAAGAAAATGAATGTCAGAAAGTTTTGTTTTTTTCAAATTTCAGATAAGCTTTTTAGCCCTAGGGTTAATCAGAGAGCTAGAGAGCTCTGTTCAGAGTCTAACTTCTTACCAGAAAAATGTTTCTTTGTGTAGTATGTGTGTAAACACGCACAAGTAAGGGTATATGTAAATAATATGGCACACCTTTAATTCATTGCCCAGGGTAATCAAAATACTAGTGGTCCTTCAGAGAATCTTCTTCTTCCTGTATTAAGCAACACCAATTAACAAGAGGAACTATCTGAGCAGCATACCCTGCAAAGCAGCTCCACAACCTCACCCTGCAGTCAGCAAGGTTTCTGACCTTTTACAGAGGTACCTGATGGAGATGTAGGTCCTCCACAGCAAAGTTAGCTGCTGCACATCGTTACCAAAGTGTGCCCAGCTGTCAGGTTAATTCAGCTAATGGTAATACCAAGGGAAAGTAATCATAGCCTGACACATGACTGCTTAACATGCTGCCAGATTGCATGCAGCCAGGGAAGTTGAATAGGTGAAGCTATAGCAAAATGAAAACAAGCTCTAATTATCTCTAGTCTACTAACATATTTCTCATGACAGTCCTGTGACACTGACAAGAATTCCCAAAGTCTAAATCTTTTACCTTCACATATGGTCACAGCAGCTAAAGACTCTGTACTGCAGCCATGAATACATATGACAGTTGCTTCAAAAGGTAAAAATATTTCAAGTAAGGGATGCTGGTCCATCCAAAGGCCAGCTGTCAGCACCATTTCTGAACTGGACACAACAGAGTGTCCAGGTAAAAGCTTTTCTTTCCATAGCCAACAGCATTTCTCTCATTTCCTCTCTTGGCAGAGCAGCTAAATATTGAACAAATTTAAGCATTTGATATTCTCAAGCAGAGGCAGAGAAGTTGAGACTTGCTCACAGCCGCAAAAACCAAGAGAACCAAGATCAGCACCCAGAAGGCCTTGGCTATCAGATCGATACGAAGTAAAAAGGCAGGAGAGAGAGAATCGTGCACTAATTGGATTTAGCCTACAGGGTTTCTTCAGTGTTTCTCCACAAGTATTCAAATTGCTAAGAAAAGAGCTAACGCACCTCACAGGGAAGTTTACTTTAACATCAATTCCACAAGCACTGGAAACAGACACACTTTACACAGCCACACACAAACAGGACATATCTTCTGATGAAAATCTGTTTTGTAATCAAAATCTTGATTGCTTCATTTGTGGGGAGAGGGAAGGTGGATCAAGAAATATAAACATACACAGAAATTATACAGCTATGGATTCCAAGTTTAAATATGAACCCAGAGAGATTATATTCAGAGAACGAGGACCAGCTATAACATCCCCAGCCACATTATGTGACAAAATAAGACACCTGCAGCTGCATACCGCTTACTAAAAATTAAAACCAGTACCATTTATCTGCCTGCCAGCACATGTTTACAAAGAAATGGGACTGCCTTTCCTTCCCCCAACCCAAAAAAAAAAAAAAAAGGTTATATTTAGAATCTGTGCTTTTATTTCACAAACTCCAAGACGTGCCACGGCCTGTACATCCTCTACAGCATATCAAATCTGACCAAGCATAGATCACACAGGATACTGTATTTATTGGGCTAACGCTGTGAGAAGGACATAGATTTATAGTGCAACTGCCAGCACAACAGATATTTAATATATAAGGCAGGATCATCAAGACAGAATTTCCTTTGACCTATACAGACAGCCCATTGCCAGTAAGTCAGGAATAGGAACATTCAGTCTCCCTGCTATGAATAAATGAAGCATTCAAAAGAATAGGGAGCATTTTGGTTCCAACAGAGAAGTATTCAGCTAAACCATGTATCTCATTTGTTCAGACATTTCACGTATAGTGTAGAGTATTTGCACTGTTTCTGCGTTTCCCCTTCTCTAGCCAAGTAACAAGAGTATGAAATATATTCAGGAGCAACAGGGGAAGAAAAGGCTTTGTTAGTCTATTAGATCCCTAAGCAACCACCATGTTATAGCATCATAAGATTGTTAGTTGATACCCAGTCTTTACAAACCAGAAACAGGCCTGCATCCTGTACCCCAGCCATACTTCTCTGGATTATACTCACCCATTTGCTCCACAATTTCAGGTGGAAAAACTCGAGAAGCAAAAGCTCGCCGGAAAATATCTGAGAATTCTTTGTCAAGGCCCCCAATGCCCATTTTCTCAAAATTCCAGTCTGGGTTGATGATTGACTGGCGGTTCTCCTTGGTCTTTGATTTACCTGCAAAAAAAAAGAAATCATTTCAAACACGTAGCACAGCAGAATTAAAACAAACAGAAGTACAAATACCAGAACAGTTCTACCAGGTCAGACCCATGTCCAGCTAACTCGATGTTCCGTTTCAAACGTTAGCCAGGAGGATGCACTATGACAAGGACGCCAAGGGTAGTATACCAGAAACTCAGCTTACTTAGTAAACTATTTTCCCAGCCTTTCCAACTGTCCAGTTCAGGTATTTCTTGAGCCAGGTGTTGCTCCTATGTATTTAAGAATCCACAGTACATTTCTCTGCCACAAGTTTATGGAGGTCCCCTTGGACCCATATACTTAGTACCCAGAGTGCCCTACAGCATCTAGCTCACCATGTCTGCTACTGGCTGCACAACCAAACACCTCCTTTCACATGTCTGCGCCAGCTCCTACCAGCTTCATTTCATGTCCCCCAAATCTTATATCTGAAGAGACAGTAAAAACTCTCGGTACCCACTCTCTTTCAGGCTACCTGGGATGGTAATAGGTTTGTCCTGTATCCTCCTCAGTCGTGCCTTTTCCAGGCAGAGCAGTCCTCACTTGTTCTTCCTTCCTTATGCAGCAGCTGCTCCACACTTGAGCACCCTTGCTCTCCTCTCAGTCTTCTCTGTTTCACTACATCCTTTGACAGACAGGCAGTGCTTTGTTTGTATCTTAAATACAGGTACAAAGTTATGCTCCGCTTTGTTCATATTCCTTTATTAACAACGTGTAATAATTCTTAACAACCCTGCTTAATAATTCTTAACAACAGGGCTCAGGCTGCTACTAAGCACGGGTCCAGCATTTCTTTGAAACTATCACACCTGGGACCTTGGCCCAAAACAGCAGTCATTTTTGACTGAAGTTAGGAGCATTTTTCCTCCCACGCATCACTTTACATTTATTTATAGTGAATTTCCTCTGCCATTTTATTTCTTAGTCACTGAGCTCCATAAGAGCAAGCTTGTCACCTCATTACTCAGTCTTTTTTCCCGTTTATTCAATAATTACAATGAAAAGCAAAGGCCCCAGTAGAGATTCATGCTGAACTCTACTGGAACTGGCTATTTACTTCTACGCTTTCATCACTCACCTACTCATGCAAGGACCTTCTCTCTTACAGATCTCTGGTTAGATTCTTTTTAAAGAAACACTGATAAAGAACTTTGCTGGAAGAGCTCTGGAAAACAAGCAGACTATGTCAGCCCTTATGCCTGTGCTTTTTGATTCCCATAATGAACTCCAGTGGGGTCATGAAGTAGGACTGCCCTTACAGAAGACAGGCTGACCCCTCCCAGTGTTATCATCTTTATATAGATATCCACTAATTTAATTCTTTATTACAGTTTCTGTTGATTTCTTCTGTACAGATTTCAGGTTCAAAGATCTGTAGCTCTCCAGACCTTCTCTAGAATCCTTTTAAAAACAGACAGCACATTCGCCATCTTGCAGTCCTCAGATACCAGAACAATTTTAAGCAAGGTTACACAAAACAATTATGAGGTCAGCTAGATCCTTTACAGCTCAGAAGAATAAAAGCCAGTCTTGGCAAACCACTACGGTTCATTTTGTCTGTATGTTCCATGACCTCTTCTAGAGCTACTTCAAGTTCAGCCAGATCCCCTAAGCACAGGTTTTTATAGTCTCCATGCAATAACTGCCCTCCTTTCCCTTTTGCTGATGAACCACACGTGTTTCAGTCTTACAGAGCTCCTTACTCCCTTTTCAGAGAAGTTTTAAATTACTCAGGGCATTTAGGAAGTAGACAAGAAGTGCAAATGCTCCTATAAGAATACTGCTGAGATGCTGTCAAATCCATGTAGACTTACCTTAAGTTTTACTCAAGGGAATTTATAAACAAGCATTGACACTCTTATCAGTTAGACTGACGCTTCCAAATGGCTTTCAGCATCATCACTTTGCTTAGCTACCAGAAAAAACAACAGTAGTATAAAAATCCAGAGAGAAAACAAAGACTCTGAAGATTATCCTTAACTCACACGGAAATTGGATGTCTTGTATTTTCTTAGACTTACACAGTGCTTTACAGGATCAGCCCTGAGGACCATTATCTCCCCTAAAAAGCCAGTCATGGCAAACTACAACTGGCATTGCTACATCAGCATTTTGCTGATTTGTTCCATAACCTCTTCTAGGGATACTTCAAGGCAAGCCAGACAACGAGCTAGCATCTAGAAGTCCAGTAAGTACACTAAACAAAAGTTCTGTGTTAGCTGAATTAGACTGCTATTAATCTTGGTCTAAACACAGCTGGAATCAATATTTCAATTCCAAGTGCAGCAAAACAAACAAGAACATGCCTTTAACTAACACATTAGGGACACCATGGTAGTATGTATAACATATAGTACTAATACACAGTACCATGCAAGGCACAGTATGCATTTGACTCAATGATTACTGTGCATTTATTATCTCATTGCTCCACTACAGTTTTTAGATCAGACCACTCACCCAGGGATGTTCCTCTTCCTGTAGAGCTTAGCCTACACCCCCCCCTTCTGGCTGCATCTGATCACAATAAAATTCTTGCAGATTTAATTAAAATATCATCCACCGGTTTTATAAAACATAATTTTATGCTAAGTATAAGAAATAGAATTTACTTTTTTAAGTGATTACAATTCTTTTCTGTTGAAAAAAATAAAGGCCCTTTATTGAAGGGAGTGCTCAGTGATGCTTACTTTACTTCTGTCTCCTCAGAATTTAATTATTCAAAACTTTACAATTCTCCAGAGAATAACAAAGCACATTAGGTAGCTCTGGCTCAGATCAATGAGGAGCTTAAATAAAGTACCAATCTGACAGAAGTAAACTGAGGCATAAACAACTCTTTTGTCTTGTCTGCAGACAATGAAATTGAATCACAGTGAAGGATTCCTATTTCCAATCAATCAGCTCTCCCACAGGACCACTCTTCACACCTATACACACTAGGAGGAAGATCACAGGTCATTATATGGATATTAACAAAGTAAAATATCACTGCTTGCTCTGATGCAATAAATTGGATTATGTTAATACTCACCTCAAGCTGTCCTATCAAAACACAGTAAAACTAAACGGGCTGTAATCATGTAATCACAGGTATGAACTAATTGTCCATGCAAATTTCATTCAGTGCTCTTAAAACTTGCATCGTTGTTAATATGCTTAATTACAGTCATCTACAATTCAGTCTATGGACCTCTGAAGGGGTTTTTTCAGTACAGATGACTGGCTGCACTTTCAGATAAAAACATCCACAAAAGATGCAAGATATGTGATTACACAACAGCCTCACGTCTCCCCATTTTCTGGAGCGACTGTAGCACGTGAAGCAGACAACTACAGAACATGGAGTCACAGCTTCGCATTTGAGGGAAGATGGCACTTCAGGGCACCATCAAAACTCAGCCTCTGCCACAAGCTCCTGCAATGCTGAATGAGTTGAATTCTACTTTTCCTAAGTGGCTACTACCCTCAGATGTTTTATTTCTGTAATAAATACTCAAAGTACTGAGCATTCACAGCCAAGCAGAGCTGTGATTTGAAGCCTACTGCAAAAATAATAAGTATTAAAACTCAACTGAATATTCAACTGAGTGCTCATCTGAGCTGGCCAGGTTCACTGAACTCCCACTCACAGCAGCCTCCACCTGCCACTTCTCATCTGTGGAAGAGCAGCAGCAAAAGGAGAAGTTTTCTTAGCTCACAGACTCCAGGAAGAGGAAACAAAATAGGAAAGGAAAATGAGAAAAAAGAAAAGCAAGAGTGTCTGTTCAAGTACAGGACTTGAATCACACCCAGAAAAGAACGCCTAGAGCCATATTACCAGCAAGGAAGATATTTGCAACTGTAGGCTTGCCAAGTGTCATCCACTTCGTACAACTGATAAGAAAAGGAAAGGAACAGCCAGACTAACAGAGTGTGTATCTGTTCTGCAGGACAGCTACCATGGTCCCAGAGTACACACAAAGCAAACTGCAGGGAAGGGGCCCTCACTGCCCACTTTGTGGTCCAGGCCCCCATCATTCAAGCTGGTGGCTCTATGACAACACACCAGATTCCTCCCTAGCTCTCCACCAGTTTCTTTCTAAATGGATATGTGGAGGACACATCAATTATTCCCCAATTTCTTTGCTAGTAAAGTCTGAAATTGTACATAACGATTTGTTTTGTTGGGGTTTTCGAAACTGCCTCTTTAAAAAAAGTTCATAGTTTTGTTAATAATCTTGCTGTGTAAACAATTAAAATAAACACAGACAATGAACCCACTGTGCTGTGTTTTGCAGCTGTCATCAGTTTCTGAAGAGCAGGACTTTCAGAAGTCAGGAAAATTGAAGTGCTCTTCAGAAGCTGTCCTCTCTCCTTGAAGAATAGATTTCATTAGAAAAGGGATTTTCAGAAGTTTTGCACTCACTTTGAAATTTTGGCCACACATTCAAAAAAGTTCGCAATTTCCTATTTCCCTGTTGTTTTAATTAAATTCAATTAAAGTGGTGTTGGCTTGTTAGTGTCCCTGAAAATATCATTTTCTGATGTTTAAAGAGTTAAAATATTTCAACTAGTTGCTGACTTTTGCTGAAGCTACTGTTCCACGTTGCCTTTCTAATCTAGGCCTAGGAGTGCAGGTTAACTTCTCTACTCATCTGACTAGACTTACTATTGTCAGAATCTCTGAAAGTCACACTCACTTTTTCTCCTCCTAGCTCTGTGTCTGTATATTTTAGATACACCGTGGTGGTAAGCATGGTATAGAGACCCCCAGAACTGCTCTAGTACGTTGGTCACTTGTGGAGCTTCATACTGGGAGGACAGTGACTTTTATAAAGCCCTTGTTTAGAGGCAGCAAAGTCTGATGGAGGGATGGTGTCTTCTCAGTGCAGTGCTTTTCAAGAGTCCTGAGCATCTACAAACTGCTTTCCAAAGGGTGTGACAGGTTCCTAAGGGATCAAATCCAGTCATCTGGAGTTTAAACAGATACCTGGGAGATATTTTGAGATGCAGTTTTCAATGGGTTAGGTCAACTGATGTAACCAGAAAAACAAACTTTGAGGCTTTCAAGTCTCTGAAGCCTGAAAAGCAGCAAACGTCAAGCATTATTTATCTCTTTGGATACAGTAACACTTACCGATCAGATTGAGAGAGGAATTCTCAGCTTTTTCAAAGGCAACTTGACTGTTTCCAAGAATTAAACCAACCTCAATCTGCAAAAGGGAGGGAAACAAATAATTACATTAAGCTATTAGGCTCAACTTCAGATTGCTCCTTAGGTATCTCTGAGCACATCGCAGAAGGCAAAAAAGAGCAGCAAAAGCTCTACTACAAAAGTAATTGGGAAGAATGTGAAATACCAACACCTCCTCTAAAACTATTATCATTGAATGCACAAGCTCATCAGGTATAGTAAATTGTTTTTTTAAAGTTATTTGTTTAGTTCAAAACCAATTATTTTATTTCAGCAAGATCTAGCAAGTAAAGAAGAAAATAAAATTATGTCCTTTCTACAGAAGGTAAAATCAAAACTGGACTTATCTGGAAGACAAAAAGGCTCAAGTGAGGATGCTTCCATGAATTAGTACCTAAAGACCAGAAGATATTCCTTGTATCTTCCCCAGCTCTGCACTTGAGTGGGTGCAACTCTAAGCTCTCACCTGCACAAGCTCAGGAGACTGCATTAAACTGAAAACAATTCTCCTTATCTTCTCTGAGGCAAAAGACGCAGCCAGATGAAACAAATGTTCAACTTCTCCAAATGCAAGTAACCTAAATTCATCCTTACAGCAAGATCTGATCAGTATTTGAATCTCTGCAATCCCTAGGGAATGAACATGAATTCCTGCAAGCCTACCTTCTGCTTTTTGCTTGCTCCAGACTCTCCTTTGAGAATGCTGGGGTCCATAGCTTCCATGTCCTTTACCAACAGGCCAAAAAGTTTGTCATTAAAGCTGAACACAAGCTGTGGAAAGAAAAAACAGAAGGGGATTTTAACTCATTAAAAATCTAAAAAGGACTTTGATAAGGCTACTAACATTTGAAGAGAAAGGGGCCTGAAGACTTAAGTTTACCACCCAACAAATTCCACGTAGTTTTTACCCTGTAAAGGGCTGGTGTACTGAACATGTCCTTTTCATGTCCCATACTTAAGAGTAACAGAGCAAAAGTTGCAGAACATGAAGTCAATTGGAAAAACTCAAAGAAAAACTCTCCTTCCAAGAAAAGCTTCCCTTCCCCCACCTTTTCTCCCTGGCTAAATGTTCTACATCATTCCTTGACATTTTCCTCTCACTTTAAATATTGGTGCTAGGTAAGCAGAACAATTTAGCTCAAACCTTTTTGATCTTTCGCATTTCAGTTTGACAAGGATACCTAAAACATAGTGCTGGAGTAATGACAGACAGAATGAATATTACAAGAAGTAAGGTCCATCCCACAGAAAAGCAGGCTGTCTCTGCACTATTCCCTTCCTCCAAGATTACATTCGCCACTGATTTGAGATTCAGACCCTGCAAGTTGTAAACTACTATGAGTGACAGACCTTGACCTGTCCTGAGAATATGGCAAACCAGAGGCTATCACAGATGTTCACAGGGGCAGAAGCCCACCTGCTGCAGAGCTGAGAAGGCTCAGTTATAGGAACATTAGCTTTCAGAAATCCCCAAGTAAAATGCTTCATACCTATTTTACTACTGGAGTCCATAGAGTAGCAATAAATGTTACAATAAAATACACTGCGCTTGAAAGGTGCTACTGAGAATTAATTAAAACGGGTGTTCATTTTGATCTTATATAGAAGGAAGACACAAGTGACTTCTCAAAAGACTCCAGAAGCTGCTTATATCCAACCAGGCCACAACGGAGAGAGAACACAGCTCTCTCAAGCCTTGGGATTTTCCTCACAATGAAAGACATATTTCTTTAGATAAGGAAAAGGCAGATTTTAAACCACTCTGCTCATGCTTTTAGTGTAAGTCACGATGGTTCAACTTTGCATAAAGAAACCATTCACACAATGAACAATTTCTGCCTATTAGCTGTCCTTTGCAGCACAGAGTCAGTACGTGGGCATTCTTCAGTATTGTACATCACTGTAGTACAAGCATGCGCATGTTAATTAAGAACATTTTGGCCTTAAAAAAACAAAACAAAACCCACACCTGCTGGCCTACTGAGAAGGCTTGGCTGTTGAACTGCTGGATGAATTCAGCAGCCATCTTGTCTGTGTCGTAGGGGTTGGAGTCAATGTTCTTCTTCTGCAGAAAATCTATCTCAATTGTCATTGTGCCAATACACTGCTTAGCCTTGTCAAAAGTGTATAAGGAAACTGTTAAAAAAAAAAGAAACAGCACATTTCAGAACAGCAAGAACCTGCCGCAATATATTAAGCGTACTGTGAGTTTGGCAATACACATTCTTCCATTCAGAATCAGTACTTAATAAAATTGAATATATTATTTCTGATAGAGACCCTTATTTCTCTTACATCCACATTCTACTACAAGATCAAAAATACAGCAAATGTATCTCCACTGAAAATACCTGCATTTCTTTAAAAACCCTAATAGTCTCCTTTAAAACAGCTCAAACACCATACAAGCTTTGGGGGATAAGGACAATGAAAGCAAATCCACACATGCTCTAGTACCACAATAGCTCTATCTACATCTACGGGTTTGGAGGGCATGTCTTCAGAAAGCCCAAAAGCAAGCAATAAGAGTAGTCTTGCCCAGAAAAGCAATACAAGAGGTCATAACTGCTTTTCTCTAACAACAGACTAACTAGCTCTTTTCCAGATCAGGTAGCAGAAAGTTAGATTACCTGCGAATTCAAGTGCAGTAACATAATCTATCAGGCTTCTACAGCCCAGAACGAAGCATCAACTTCCCTTCATCTCTGACACAGAGGAAATAGCTGCTACCCCAGAGGTGCACTTGTGCCTATCCTAACATGCCCCAGGTTACCTTCAGCAATGCAGAATCAATTGAACAGCCTTGAAAACAGGACAGAAAGCAAAGTGGCATGGAAGGTAATTCACAGTCACTGCCAACTGCACCTAATCCACACAGGTCTTAAGTTACATTGCATCAAAAACAAGAGGCCACTTAGGGCTGTTACTGCTAGAGGGAAGAGGATAGAAAGTAAAGAAGAGCCTGGTCCACAACTTCAGGGATACTGTCTCAGCACAATTGATCAGAAGGACAGGATCTCACAAAGCAGACAGTCCTAATAATTCACAGACTGGACTGCAGCAAAGGACAGAAGCAGATGTCTCTCCAGAAGACTAAGGAACATTATAGGTTTGCTTTGAATCCAGAGAAGAAAGTCTCATCTGATACAGAAGTCAGAACTAAGAGTAAAGCAATAGCAGGTGAATAAGAGAAATGTGCTTCACACATAACCTACTATTTCCTATCAAGCCTCTTGGCAGTAGAATGGTTCCAGAATAAACCTGCAGACTACTGGGAAGATGTGACATCACAACAAGCATCCAGCATGCTATGATACATGATTAATTCAATTTAAGAGAATAAAGAGAGCCTGTCTCTTCCTTAAGTTGTTACGAGAAGACACATAGGTCATCACAGCATGCACTTTTAACATCCTTCCTGGTATAAGAATAGGCCACTAGAAATAAGCTGTCAAAGAAAGATCTTCCAGGAAATAGGGATAAAGATGAAACACCAAACCACTTCCTGAACTGAGGTATATCTATTATATCAACTAGTTCTTTCAAAAAGAGCTATAGCAGCAGGGTTATCGCATAAGCCATAGCTTATGAAGGAGAGACTTTGGTCCTGCAACAGGATAACATGAGTTGTTCTTACCTTGCAGGTCACTTCAGGGCAGTTAATTCCTTTTACTTGCCTAATCTCAGGGCTTTGTCAAACAAAAGCTTCCCAAAAGAATATCAGTCCCTGGATCTGGTCACATCACAGAACTGAGGTGTCAACTGAATATCAGTAGTGCTTACATCAAGGACTGAATGCTGGGGGTGTCTAGTACAGAGATGAACAGTAATGCACCACTGGTGATGCACTCCAGTAAGCAATATACAGCACCAGCTTCAAAAGCCTGTAACATCCTAGAAACAGAGAGGCAGGCTGAGAAGGTAGCAGTGACCTCCCGGTGCTGAGAATGCAGCTGAGGCAGCCAGCCCCTGACTCCAGATGTGCATCTCCAAATGTAACACAGGAACTGATGAAACTGAACTGCACTCAATGCAAGACAACTGCATCCACTCAAGGCACCCAACCTTTCCACAAAGGCAAACTTACAAGATTCACTCACCTGGAAAACCTTTACCATATCAATAGGGGCTTAACAGGACTCAGCTTCACTATACCACTGAGCAGTGGACTGAATTTAAAACTAGCATTTAAAACAGTTTTCACATTATTAGGTGAACAAGACAAAAGGAGAGCCCTAGTAAATCACTAGTTTTATGAATACTTCTCCCTACCTGTAGAATAGCTTTACAAATCCTTTAGACTCAGCAGGGAGTCATATGACATTTAGTCACTCTGCATAAAATTATGGCATTATTTTTCTTAACACATGTTCCCACATAGTTGGTAAGTTTATAGCAAGGTCTAGTACAAGTACAATCACAAATCTGCTCTAACAGCTAATCATGCTGAATATTAGTGTTTCTTTCCCCAAATAACTTTAGTACTAACAAGCATTTATCTGTAAGCCAGCTGGCACATATTACTGATCAGCAACCAAACAAGCATGAGAAATCAATTTATGGGTCTCCCCCCCTCATTTTAGGTTATTCTTTAGTTTAAAAAACAAAACAAAACAAAATCAGCTAGCAAAAAGAACTGGCTTCCAAGCAAGATCTGTGAGGTGTCTAGTTGTGTAGAGAGGCAAACTGACCCACTCTAGCTTGTCACTACAAAAAGAGATTCACAAAGACATCAGACTTCACACTCAAGTACTGATCCATGCCCAGGAACGTGCTGAGACCAAAGGAGCTGGGAAAACAAACAGCCACAGAGTGAGCTTCCCTAACAGTATCTCGCATCCACAGCTGCACCACTTCTCAGTCTATCCTCACTTTTTGACACAGGATGCAGTCAGTCACCAGCTCTGCCCGCAATCCTCAAATGAGAGGAGAATTCCTTGGAATCACCTTAAACACCTCAAACGGAAAAACAGTGGCCTAACGAACAGTTTGCTACACCTCAATGACCATGAGCCAGCCAACCATTAGAGCAGGCTTCATCACAGAAACCTTGTCAAAGAAAAGGATAAGATGGCTGCCCCCAGGAGCACACAGGTCATTCCTGATGGTCAAGAGGACATGATCCATTACCCTGATCTGCTGCTGCAAAGAACATGGAGACCTTCCTATTACAAGCTGCTGCCAGGAGTTTGGTCAATACTCCAGAAGCTACAGACACATGAAACAGCAGCACCTATAACTGACGGTGATGCCAATTGTTCATAAATCAGAGGTAACGGTGACAGATAGCACGAATAAATGAAAAAGAGAGCATGCAAGCTGAGATGCAAATCAGACTCCTCTTTGAACATTGGGAAAAGCTTGTCAGGCTCAGTTAAGACTTGAAATTGGAATACAAATCTGCAACTTGCACAAACTCAAGATGGCATCCCTTTCCCTTCATCATACTGCAGAATATTCTAGTCAGTTATTGGTGAAAACATCAGTGCTGCTCCCAAAGCTCATCACTCCAGCTACCCAGAGCACACTGCTGGCTTTTGGCAACTCTTAACACTAAAACTTCCCCATTCTCAATACTCAAATTTAGATGCCAAGAATATCCTCAATGACAACAGCTGTTTTCTGTTTGCTGATAAGTGATTTCCAAAGCCACAAGAACAGACTACCCAGGACACGTTACATGTTCACATCTGCATGTGGACACTGATGTCCCATACAGAGCTATGCTGATATACTAGTAGTCGTCTCAACAGTCAAAATAGTCCTCCAGGTTTTGAAAATGTTAAGAGACAGAAAGCCTGCAGATAACGAGAGCAACTCCCGTTCACTAATGAGGGCCTCATATTACCTGGGGAGGGCTGAAGGATTGGAGATTTTCCAATTTAGTTTCACTTCAGTATGGAAACATGCAATTTAGCTTTTATAAACACGTCATGATCGTGCTGCTGACTGACTTACCATCTATCTCTTGACCAATGGAAAGGCCAGCCCATTTTCTCTGTAAAAACAAGACAAAAACTTCAGAAAACCTGTCATTCAGTAGAACAAATGCCCACACAAAGTCAGCATCCACACTCAGAAAAGCAGGCTCCCCATGAGAACCTTGAGAAGCAGCAAAAAAGGGCAGAATAGGTTTTTACAAAGACCCCCAAATTAACAGGAAACAAGTCAAAAACATGGAATCATTTCCATTAGTAATTCTATTTTCTGACCTCAGGAGGTTGTTCTATCCAACCTCCTTCATGTTATTGGTCACCCCACCATCTGGGAGACAGAAGTTATCATACTGGATAGGGCTTTTCGTCATTCTGCTCATTTTCTACCACAGCTTAGGTGCTGATCACACAACAGGTAGTGCAAGAGGCAAGAAACACGCTCCATGATCATTTTGAAAACTTATATGTACTAGTTGCAGAAAATCATTGTCATGTGCTTTAAGGTATAATATTACCTAAATCAAAACTTGTTCAGAGAACTAGTAAGAATTAAACTGTTCAAATCCTTTAGGTCCCTTCAAATTCCTTTAAAAGTTTTGTGCAGCATAGAACTGCATGAGAAGTGGGAAATGGTTCAAAAATTATGTGACATGAAAATCCATGACCTTTACTATGCCAACAGTTCTGGCGTGATAATTGCAAAAATGGTATTTTTCCAATGGCTCTTGTGTTACAGATTGGATAGTGTGTATTCACAGTCCACATCTCAGGCTATGCAGTATTCACAGTCTCTTAAATATCTAAACCTTAGAGAGGCAGGAATCACAAAAATATATAAGTATCATTACACAAGGCTCTGGTAAGATCACATTTGAAACGTTGTCCTTTACCACCATTTATGTTTGGCTTTTTATCTGCAAGGAACAAGACTGGGTGAAGGAATACAATGACCTTTTTTAAAAAAATTAAAATTTCCCCCTATACACCCCCTCCAGTGTGTTCACGGTTCAAGCTTGAGGAAGGAATTCCCTTGGCATAACAGAGATCGACCTGTTAGAAATCATAGACCTGAGCAGGAAGTCTTACATGTATTCCAAAGAATACTGGTATTCCAAAGAAGGTGAAAACAAATTATGTTTCCATATTTAATCTCATGCTTCACAGCTTCCACTGTTTACCTGCAAGGCCAGGAATAGTTTTCCCCCTCCCTTTGACACTCCAGTTCATCAGCAAAAGATATCCTAAACTCACCTTCATCTGAAGAACCAGACACTGGTGACCACAAGGGCAAGAATGGTAGGCAGGCACACTGGTACTCCTGCAAACACTGGGCTTTGCTTAAACCCCCCAGGTTAAGCCTATGAAGCCTATCACCAAATTTCAGGACAAGAAGGAAAGCTGTCCAGGTTCTGCTAGAAAGATTAGTTAGGATCTTCTCCGTGGCAAGAGATATAGCTCAACTCCTATGTTCATTTGGGTGTTTTTCTGCTAGGAAGTTTGTTATCACTGCACAGCTCTTCATCTTTTGGGCTCTGCAGTATACAAGATTTTTCAGGGCTTTTGGTCTTTAAACCTGAGTTAAGATTATTACAGAGTACATGTGGTCAACAACTTTATGTGCATAATGAACGCACAACAAATAGACTTTCTTAGAGGTCTTAAGAGTTTGTGTCCACTACATGACCATGCATGAATACATAAGGTAAACGCACATTTTGTGCAACACTGGTTGCAATTACCCAAGGCTTCAGGAAATACTGGAAATGAAAACCCAGCATCAGGAATACTCAAATAAAACATTCATATACCAGTAGCTGTAACACTACCATAGTCACTTTTTAGAGGTAGGCAACCTACCTCATTCCATAGCAGAAGAGCTCTCCTGGCTCTACAACAACTACTGGAATCTACCATGAATGCATCTACTTTAACCCTGTGATACAAATATCTTCTACTGATAACTGCTTTTCAGTTTGGGCATCACAAATCATAGCTAGACATATGGTTAACATAACATCCTCTTCACCCTCTCATCCGGACAAATCTGAATTTGAACATGTCAAAAAGCAAAAAGTCATTTGGGGGCCTATGCCAAGACATCTGTTGAGGAAAAAAAGTCTTGCATTTGCAACATAGAGACTCAGCTTCTAGTCCAGTTACTAGCAGGAAAATACAAAAGCATTAAATCAGTGACCATGATTGTTGCAGTTTTACATTATGTGACTCACTGTGTAAGGCTGTTAAAGGCTACAAGATTCATTTTTCTATTAGAAGTTAATTATACTAATTATTTATTCTAACCATCATTTAACATGTGATAGCTTAATTAAGAAAGAGAAGACAAGTTAAATCTATTTTATGTATTTCATTGCACTTTTCATCTAGTCAATAAAAATCTCCAGCAGGTCTTTAAAAGAGCAAAACAGCAAAGAAAACCCTTTAAAGTCAAGGGAAATAAGGGAACAATAAAAATTCACAAGGAATAGCAGACATTGCTTTTCTTTTTGAAATAGTTTGTTTCTGCTGGGTTTTTAAAAGGTTAAATTACACATTGTCTAGTATCTTTATCCCACCATGTGCTAAAAATAGATCAAAATAATATAAGCAAGTTTGCTTCAGTTATAGTAAAAGTCTCCTTGAACTTTTGCTGTCAGAAATCAAATTTGCAGCATACATTTACACAGATGTCTCCCTCCAATTAGAAGTTAACCTTCAATCCTGACCTCAAAAGAGATTTTGCTTATTCTATACCAAAACAGTAAGTCAAACCATATAGTACCTGGGGCAAGCTGAACGCGATGCTGCCAGGAACAACTGAGGAATGCGTTCTCAGCGTGAAAATGTATTTGTGGTTGGGAGAGGTCTTCACAACAACATGTCTAGAAGAGAGAAAAGTATTTTACTTTGGTATATACTGAGCAGGATTTTGCCTTGCTCCCAGAGCTGTGGAAAAAAACAAGCCAGCTTATATCTGGTCCTATAAAGAAAAAAACAAAAGCTTTAGGCCTACACTATGATGCAGGCACACAGCAGTCTTTCACAGGAGTCCATCATCTTCAGTGATACAACGTGATCTCAAAGCCCAGCTGCAAGACATTGTACTAATAATTACTGTTTACATTCCCCCACCAGTAGCCCTTTACTTCAGGAATTGCACCATACAAATGTGAGAACACCAAACTATAACCACAAAGACCAAGGCTGCTATATCTAAAAATCGACACTGGTTTCACATCTCAAGCATCTAACACCAAAACATCAATATTTTGCCCCAATACAAGCAGTATCCCCCAGCTGTGATTTCAACAAGAAATAGATGCAAAGCCTACACAAAGATCTTAGTATATTGTTTAGAAATTTGATCGCAGAAAAAATGGAAGGAATTTCTGTACAAAAAGTAAAATCACATAAGCACTGAGGCTGTTCCTCCTGTTTGCTAGTGACCAACAGATCTTGAACTCAGACAGCATTTGAAGACCAGAAACACTGTTATAAAAACAGAACAATACAGTCAGGAGCAGACACAGCAGCAGCAATTGCATGTGCCTGTCTATCACTCTCAGAAGACAAGCTGTTGGGAACAAAGATACTCAAAAGCTGCTTATAGTTATCCTCAGACTATGCCTGATAGCTCTCATCATGTGATAGGCAGACTTCTTTTTGGCATAAGAAAGCAAAACAAGAGGAAGGTGGGATTTGTGTGCACTGGTGGCAGGGGCGATAGTGGAACCAGGTTTTACCTCATCTTCTTCTTCACAGCTGCCTGTACTTTAACTAACCATAGGGTAAATGAGGCCACGAACTCATGTGGTGTTCCCCTCTTACCAACTCTCCTACCCACGGTCAGAAACTAAGAGCTAGATGAACTATGCTAACAGCCAAGGCCCACGCTCCTGGCCATCCTCCCTCCCTCCCTGGCAGTGAATGTATTACATGCACATATGCTCTGTATATCTTCATTTGCATATGCACAGCGAATCCAGCACCATCCAAAAGCTGATCTGCTACATACGTATACATTGGCTACATCGTGTATGCTTAACAGGTTCAGCCACATGGTAGGAAGGAACATATGGCCCTTTGAGACTAGAGGAAATGTGTGGCCTGCATAGCCAAAAACACTAGACATCACTAGCTTTAGCCCAAACACACAGGGAAGCTTGGAAAACCTTTCCATGAACTGCCAGCACTTGATAGCATAGCAGGGTAAGAACACATTTTAAACATACCACACAGTGATACATACCTCCTCTGTCAGGTCGGCCAGTGATTTGACTCTTCACTGGTTCTGGCCCTAAATCACCCATTAGCTGCCTAAAACCCCAGCTGTAAGGACATGCACCCTTCCTTTTCCATCTCCTCCTGCCCTAAGCATAAATCCAGAAACCCGTTATAGGTGGTATGGTTCCTTATAAATCTTACAGTGGGATAGCAAGACATTTACTGGTGCTTCATGCTGATCAGGGAAGGTTTCTGAGGACTGGGAGAAAGCATATGTCACTTCTGTCTTCAAGAAGGGCAAGAAGGAGGATCCAAGGAACTACACGCTGGTCAGCCTCACCTTAGTCCCTAGGAAAGGGATGGAGCAACTAATCCTGAAAGCCAAACATATTAAGGGACAAGAAAGTGACTGGGAATAGTCAGCATGGATTTAGAAAGGAAAATCAGGCCTGACCAATACTATAGTTTTCTACGATGAAATGGTGAGCTCTGAGGTTGGAGAGCGAGCTGCGGATGTTGTTTATCTCAATATTAGTAATGTTTTCTACACGGCCTTGCACAACAATCCTTATAGACAAACTGATGAAATATAGACAAGGTAAGCAGGCAGTGTGGTGTATTGAAAACTGCCTGAACCACTGGCCTCAGAGGGGTGTGATCAGCAGCATGAAGTCCAGCTTCAGTGTGCTGATTTTGGCTGGGATAGAGTTAATTTTCTTCACAGTAGCTAGTATGGGGCTCTGTTTTGGATTCATGCTGGAAATAGTGCTGATAATACAGAGAGGTGTTTTTTTATTGCTGAGCAGTGCTTACACAGAGTCAAGGCCTTTTCTGCTCCTCACCCCGCCCCACCAGCAGGTAGGCTGGGGGTGCACAAGAAGTCGGGAGGGGACACAGCCGGGACAGCTGACCCCAACTGACCCAAAGGATCTTCCATACCATATGATGTCATGCTCAGCATATAAAGATGGGGGAAGAAGAAGGAAGGGGGGGACATTCGGAGTGATGGTGTTTGTCTTCCCAAGTAACTGTTAAACATGATGGAGCCCTGCTTTCCTGGGGATGGCTGAATACCTGGGAAGTGGGGACTGAATTCCTTGGTTTGCACATGGCTTTTGCTTTATCTATTAAATTGTCTTTATCTCAACTGACCAGTTTTCTCACTTTTACTCTTCTGATTCTCTCCTCCATCCCACCACAGGGGAGCAAGCAAACAGCTGTGTGGGGCTTAGTTGCTGGCTGGGGTTAAACCATGACATTCAGGCAGTTCACTAGTGGTGTACCTACTACAGGTGTCCATCTGGGGCCAAAACTATTTAAACTCTTCATTAATGACCAGGATGATGGGACAGAGTGCACCCTCAGCCAGTCTGCAGATGACACACCTGCTGATTGTGCTGCCATTCAGAGGGACTTTGACACAGTGGAGATATGGGCTGACACAAATCCCATCAAGTTCAACAAAGGAAAATGCAAAATCCTCCACCTGGGGAGGAATAATCCCATGCACCAGTACAGGCTGGGGGACAACTAGCTGCAAAGTGGCTTTGCAGAAGACGACCTGGGATCCTGGTAGACAACGAGTTGAACATGAGCCAGAAACATGCCCTTGCAGCAAAGATGGCCAAAAACATCTCTGGCTGCATTAGGAAGAGCATCGCCATCAGGTCAGGGAGATGATCCTTCCCAGACTGAATGCTGCTCCAAGGACTGTTTAATTTTAAATTGAGTAGCAGATAAAATAGAGAAGCTTTCCAGGAAGCCAAGACTGAAATCAGGAGGTTTCCAGCACAGAGTGCATCAGCCTGAGTAATTCAAATTAATATCAATACACAACCAACTGGAAAGCAAGGTAATACATTGCATAGTGCTAGACAAACATGCCTGCAGGCAAAACACAAGTTCCAGCCATGCTACTGGAATACCTCACCGAGAAATACACTTGATGACAAGTAACACCCTACTAGAAGCAGCTCATCAGACAGTGAAAGACCCAAGATTAAAGCTTCTTAAGACTGAGATGGATACTTCACAGTGCACTGTTTGGCTTGAAACACAACAGTGACTTTAACGTGGATAGATTCGGCATCTCTGCAGGAAGAAACAAACTCCACCACTGTTGGGTTTCACTTCAAAAAAGCTAAATGCAAAAAAATGAGGATACCTAGTAAAAATACTGTGGGGTTGGGGGGTATCCACAAAGATTTGATACAAATTAAAATTACTATATTGAAGCATACCATTCACCAAAAACATTTCCAGAAAACCACAAAGATAGCTGAGCCTGACAGCAGGCAAATAGATGCCAAGAAGAAAAAAAGAAAAGAAAAAACAGGGGAAAAAAACCCAGCTTTCTGAAAGAAATCCCTAGCCAAGTAAGATGATTAGGAAAGGTCAAATCCTGACAGGTTCTTTGAGAAAAATCTGCAAAACACACAGGAACAACCATGTTTCTTCTCAAAGACAGCAGGAGCAGGCAGTTTCCAACAGGCTGTAAGCAATCTATGTATTAAGAACGTTCAAAACAAGGCAATAGCAAGAAAAACTAAATGAATTTTCCTACATTGAGGTTCACCAGGAAGGAGCTTGGAGAGCTCATGGAGACACATGGGGGAAATCTCAACCTCATTAACAGCTTCTGCTTATAAATGAACAAAAGGAAGAACAATGAGTCACCAGGGCCAGATATCTCCCAAGAGCTCTAACAGATGAAACTGCTTTTCTAGTTCATGTGTAAAGCTTCGCCTGAACTATCAGAACAAAAACATGGCTGTGATGCCAATTCTTAAGAAGGGCTCCAGACCAGGCCCAGGAAACCATCTGTTGGTAAGTCTGCTGGCCAGGCTGAGCAAACCAACAGAAATTATAATAGCTAATATTAACCTGCGTGTCCATTAGTTTTTATGTTAGTGAAGAAAGAGCATAGCTTTTGTAAGGGAGAGAGGGTAACTTACTTATCTGTGCAAAGGTGCCACTAAGCATCTGAACAATACGGGCAGATACTCCTTTGGTGCATGTTTGGAAACCCATGTAAATTACTCAGAGTAAGGCTCCTCGAGGGCTCTTCAGATAACTAAACTGGCATGAGAAAAGAGGCATGGTCTTCCCATTTAAAAGGCAGGAATAAAAGGTAATAATAATTAGTCAATTCTCAACACAAAAAAAAAATTGCCATTGAGATAACCTGCCCTGGCTTCCTTCCAGACTGTTGTCCCCTTCACTACCTGGCTGTTTTCAGTTATTTGTTTCTCTCTCCAAAATACATTGGGAGTCCTCAAGATAGAAGTATGTCACAGGAGCTTAAGACAGCGCAACTTATCAAACCAACATGGTACTATAATAAAGCATTGCATCCCATGAACTCATGTGTCACAAAATGGTGATTCATACTTGTCCAACTTACAGGATGCGGAAAATAAAGCATGAAAAGACCTACAGTAGCATCCTGGGGAAAAACGATCTCAATGATCCAAGGTCAAACTCTCAGCTCTACACCGTGAGCACCAAATGGAAGTGTTAAAGCAAAGCCCTTTGTGTAACTGTTACCAAAAATATTCTGTGCAGCCAGTCATGGTTAGGATGATAACAAACCAAATCTGCTGACTGCGTGCAACTTACTGCAGCAGATCATAAGGATGGTCTTGCTCAGTACATCTGCAATGCAGCAGAATGACTACATCCTTCAGTAGTAGCTGAATATTGTGATGTTTCTCTGTACTCTAGTCTTACACTTTTCAAAGCGATTTACAGCATCTGCTCACAACCAAACATATGCTGCTTTCTTTATGAGCCCCAATTTCTAGAAATAAGCAGCTCTCTCGGGAAGAATCAGTATAGCCAGAATCATGGCCAGCCTGCTTAGCAGGCAAGTCTTGGGATACTGCTTCCTGCATGTTTTCACAAATGCGATGAAAGAGGGTTCTCAGAGTGAAAGCAAAGCAGCTGGCTGCTGCAGATCTGGAAGCTGGGTCCCTCCAGCACATTCATATTCGAGGAAATTAACATTTTTATAATGCATGAGGTACAATGCTCAGTTCAGGTATTTTTGTAAGTCAATTACTTTGAAAAAAATCTACCTGGGGAAAAACATAATTTTAGGAGACCAGGACACTATCCTGTCCAAGCAGACACTTTTGCCTGCTTCTGACTCTAAAAGTTGTGCTTATTTGGGGTTTTTTTAGGGGGAGTGGTTTTGTTTTGTTTTGGCATTTTATACTAAAGTTGGGCTTGTGAAGTCACCGTTCAGTCACTCACTGAAGGGCCGGGACAGCTCTCTAGGGTAGCAGCACAACAGACTGACAGCACAAAAAGAGGCAAGTCTTAAAACACATTGCTCCCTTCTTCCCTGCAGTTCAGAGCTACTTCGTTCTCCATCTTTAGCAGAATTCATCTGGGCCAGGTATTTTATGCTAAGGCCCTAAGTGTATCATTCAGTATCTTTTTTAACATTTTTTCCTATTTTTCAAAGCCAAGCTCTTCCGCCTTCCACTGCATGAGATACTCTCTCTTTCTGCTGAAATGAATTACTTCTGTCTACAATCTACATACTGAAGTCTTTAAGAGAGCTACCATACAGCTGCAGCAAAGCAAGGAAACTAATTATTTGAATTGGCTTCTTTTAATACAAAGCCATTCTGTGTGGGCTGAGCTGAAAAATTAATGTGTTTTCTACCTTTCTCACAAAAGCAAAACCCAGAGTCAGCTTCTATCAGTCACCCCAGAATTGTAATTAAAGAATCCAAATTGTTGTGCCCACACTCTGGTTGCCTTCCTCTTTTGTTCTTGTGCATGAAAATCCCTAGAACAAGAGAGAGTTTCTACTGACTCTGCTCAGCACTCCAGTATGATGTGAAAGTGAGAAGATGCCCCGAGTAATGCAATTAAATGATAAAAATCTACTTGAAATAGTTCAAATATTCTATGTAACAGGAGCAACAGCAAAAACAAAACCAAGGCCTGAAGTCCTTCATTAAAATAATGATTACAATTAGTTAAGCAGATCCAGTTCCCAAGGAAGAAATGCTTCGGAGAAAAATTTACCATTTTTTTAGTATCTCCAGGTCTGAGAGAGAGGCACATTTAAAGTTTTGGTCTCTAAATATGCAGAAGTTTTGTTAATTAACCTACTGTATTCACCTTCCCAAATCTGAAATTTCATTCCACCTCCATCCAAACTTTGAAAACAATTCCTTTTTGGCTGAAAGTTGAAAAAGCAACAGTGCACACTTACTGCCCAGATTGGAAGTCCTTCTCATTCACCACAGCACAGTTGGTTAATGACAGTTCATCGGTGGGACATCTTGCTGCTTGCATAGACTACGAGAAAGAAAGAAAGGAAAAAACTGTCAAATAAAATTCTGTTTTTCCTTTACTAAGCCAAGCCTCAAAGCTTCTGTAAATCCATAAAACACAAAATAGGTCTCATGAGTACTGACATACTCTGAGACCATAGCCCACTGGCATTGACAAGCTCCTCCCCCTCTTCAGGGTTTCTCCAAACACTTCTATGTGTCACAGATATCTGTATCCAAAAGCTCTGCATTTTGTGAGTATAGTACACCTTATATTTTCTACCATACCTACGAAAAATACTTTAAAATTACCTAGGAAAAAGCTTGCAAGGCAAATGCTGTTAACTCGCTAGCGAACCCTGGTGTTCATGCAACTTCCCTGAACCCCACCACAAGCCAGCAGGTAGCAAAGCATTCACTGGAAGGCATTTCTTGCCAAGTAACAAGACAGTGGGACATTTTGAAAGCTGATAAGGCAAAGCAGCCTAGAGACAGACCAGCTCCATTACAACCCTGGGTAACCGTTATGTTGTAATGCTGTGCTGGGTTGCCCACTGTGTGCAGAAAAGGGGCTGGAATAGAGATGTTACCTTTCTTCTTCCCTGACATTACTCAGAACACTGAAATTTGACCACATCCATTCTGGATACACCTACTTTAAACACCACAGTACAGGGCAGCACTGAAAGTCCGCAGGAAGGTTTAATTCTCAGCCAGTTGCTATCCAACCCCACAGAATCTCTCTATAAAACTTCTCAAAAGAAATATCATGATGCAAATATTTCCTACTCTATAGGAAACATCACAGATCAGTACCAAAAAATTAAGTTAAACAGTCAGTTCCAGCCTATCATTATTAAAAAAATTACTGCAACAAATTTTGTGGGGGTGTCCTACCCCCCTCTTTTTTTTTTTTTTCCCTAAAGTCAAAGGAGCAATCCTATTTCAAATTTCAAGAGTATCTGTTCAATTTTTTTCCCCTCCATCATTACTCAGGAATCAGCAGCTAAAATAACCAAATACTTTCACTCTCAGCCCAGGCTGCCCCATCCCATTACAAGGCAGTATATAGCATATAGGGGGAGTGCAGCAGAGGAACATCAGCCCCATCCTACATCCCTAACCCCATTTGCTTCTGCAGAATGATTCCACAAAACAATGGTTGAAAGATGAAAATTGGGTCCAAAATGCCTCTAGAAGTGGAGAAAAGCACGGAAAAAGCAAGATGTTTCTATCATTAGCTATAGACTGAAAAAATTTAATTTGGAGAAAAGCTAAACTTGACCCCCCAGGATGTTATTTTTAGAATCAAAGCACAACTATTTTCTTTGTCAGATACAAATTTGCAGGCAGTGCAACAGAAACTATTTGTCAGTGTCAACCTACTGCTAAAACCAATTCAGAATGGATTTTATCTTAAGACGCCCTTAAATCCCAGCAACAAGAGAAGGAAATGCACTGATCCTAACGCACACATCCAGATAATTTCCCAAGAGTTAACAGCCTGCTCAGCCTTTCTCCCCCTACCCCTCTGGGCCATCTGAGAAAAGAATCAGAGAAAATTCATCTCCACGTGGACTGAAGCAAGCCTGCCCTATAGCTCAAATCAACTTTTTATGTTGTAATGTAATTCTTCTAGAGTACTTGCTATTTAGAAAAGGACTAATTCATTATTTTTACTGACTAATGCTCAATTGCCCTTGACATGTGACAACAGAAAAGGATTCCATTTTCAGCTTTGAAACAGATTTATCTACCTGAATCTGAAGCATAATAAGAGACTCAATTAAATATTCTTGTAATAAAAAATATATGACCATCAGTGGACTTCTGAAATACACAACCTGCCTGTTAAGGCTCACCATCTTTGGGTACTTCACACGAAAAAGCATTCACCATTTTATCATTTCTCCTTCCATTTGCAAAGGGACTATTTTGTGAAGGGCATGCCCTGATAAAACGCATTAAGTAGGATATTTCTGGAGAAAACTGAACACAGAGCTCATGGATTAAACCTTTTTACAGCACTAGTCCTCAACTGCATTTTTAATCCTTACTGACAAACTGCTTCCTACATGTCAACAGCAAGCACTTGGCAAATTTGCCATTCTTCTGTGTTATTCCTATCTGTGTTTGGGAACGTGCAAGCCTCACTTTAAGGAAATGCATAAATATAAAGGAACTATTTCAAATCCAGCACCAAGTGCTCCTTTTGCAAGCTCCACAATATGACAGATGCATGGCAAAGCATCCTTGGGTATCTGACACGTGAAATAACGTAGCTGCTGCTGCAGCAGTATCAGCACTGGCTGTGCTAGCCATCCCATAGTCCGGCGCATTCTCCTTCTGGGGTGTTTGGCAGAAGCCCATTTCTCCCTTGGCAATGATAAACATTTCAGACAGCATCTATAACCTACACTAGACTCCCAGCTCTCTCTCTCTCTATATATATGCCATCCTCAAGCTCCAAGATTCTGCAGAACTTCAATACGTTATCAATATACACAAGTGTTTTTAGCATAATACAGCTCATGCAAGAAACAGGTGTCAGTGGACGCAGGTTTTCATGAGCATACAAGGGACAGTCTGAGGAAATCTGGTCATGTAAGAGATTATGATTAATCTGGAAAGCACCCAGTGAGGAAGCTGGAACACACTGTTCTAGTGAATTGCAGGGTCTTTCTCCTACCTCCCCTCTCCTCACCCCAGTGCTCATATCCCCAGAACTACTGCTCACAGGGATTCTTGTCTGTCTCTCAAGCAATTGAGCTGCCGCAGCAAGAACGCAGGCATTGGCTGCTCCTAAATTTTTCCAGCATAAATGCAGTAGTCCAGAGCTGTAACATGAGCCACCAGAGCCTGGAGGGCTGTGACATGCTGGCGGTAGTACTGTCAAGGAACACTTTAAGCTCTTTTTGGGTTCCAGCTTCCCAGGACACCAGCACAAGGACTCCCCGAACCCTGCACCCTCTCTCCTCTCTGCCATCCAACACTCTTATTGCCTGCACTTGCACACCACACATCAGGGAACAGAGGAAGCAAAATCCTTAGCAGTATTTCTAAGAAATCTTCAAGTATATTTACACAAGCGAATTTTAAGCTAACTAGTAGGTTACTGCTAGCAACTAGGCAAGGCAACATAAAGCTCAGCTCTAGCAAACCACTAGAGCAGATCTTGCAGCTGACAGTGAATGCCATCTGCTGCAGTTACACTGCTGTCAATACTAGTTTGAAGGTGACACATATACATTGTCACAGGTTGCAGTTACACCTGTGTCCACAATACAGATATTTTAGGATTAAAGTAGCAATAAGTGTCTTCCCTGCCTCCAGTTATTGTTCTGGTTTATGCAAGAAGGAGACTCCCAAGACCAGTGAAGTTCTAGGGAGGTGACTCCACATCTGAGACAGTGCCTTCATTCTAAAGAATCCTCAGCTAGAAGCATTCATCATCGGTCATGCAGTATCCACTATTAAATCCATTTCTACGCAGAGGTCTACTGCAATATTCCTTCTGTTTACCAAGAGAAAAATGAGACCACATAACACACTGATAAATCTCACACTGAAAGACAAATGTGAAGGACCTTACCTTTGGATTTATGACAAAGCAGTAATGTTGCCTCTACTCCTCTGCTACTGAGCTGATGCTAACCATGAAAATACAGCGCCAGGAGGCTCAATGATGCTGACATATTTTACTTCTACAAAGTAAAAGTTGCTTCAAAGAACAAACAAGTTCATAACAGAAACAACCACCATAACATCTGATCTTTCAGAGATTTTTGTTTCAAAGTTGCATGGATTCCAGTTTTCCTCTACAAAAATATGAAACTGAGTTCTTCTTGCATTTTAGGAGAGCTCAGCCCAGAAAGCAATCCTAAGTTATTCGGATATTTTCATACATACATAAACCACACCTTTTCTCCTTCTGAATTTCAAAACAAGCATCTGAAGCAAAAGCAAAACAGTGCTGGTTTAAAACATGACTAGGGAAAAGAAAGAATAATAAAATCTCTGGAATATTACACATAGTAGACTATATTACATTGTTGCGTGGGCGAGCACATAGTACAAAGATATGGTTAATATTTGTGAATTGTTACGGCTGATGATAGAGGAAGCTAAAGAAAACATGTTTCCCATTACTCAGACCCCACAGGAGATAAGCTGGTGGCACATAATAGAAGTGCACTACTACCTGTCAGTTGTTAGTGAAGAGCGAAAACATTAAATGCCATGGCAGAGATGTTCTTCACTGGAAACAGCTTAACTCGTTTAATTTCCTAATCCTACACACGAGATTATGAAACAGCTTCTAAAGCTGAGGCAGGTTTTGTTCTGTGCACTGTTTCTACATGGTTTGTGTAAGACAAATATTGTTAAAGTGTTATATGTTAAAAAATGCATTTTGTGTAAAACATACAGGCATAGATATACATGCATATCTACATATATATAATTTCTGTCATGCATATGTTGGCAGGCAAGTGTTAAGAAACATGACAACTCTGAGTACTAGACATTTAGGTTTCCTCTGTAGAGCTCACTGCCAGCTGCATAGAAATGGGGATCCCCACTCCAAAAAGCATCTAAGCTCTACTATCACAGCTGTTAGGCATCAAAGTACTTCTAAGCTCAGAGCTTCATCACCCAAAGAGGGTGACAAAGAACCTGTGCAGGAGTTATTCTCAGGAAGGAAGTTTAGTCCATAGTTACTAGGGATCGGGCAGATGTGTGCCTGCCTGGTGGCTGTGTGGTAGCATGGCTGACTCAAAGGTGTTCAAACACTCATTCACCACTGAAAGTCTGCAAATAAAATTAAGTTTGAATACTGAAAGGAAGAATTAGGATATTAAAGGAGCTGTGAAGATAAACAGGGAACTGAGATGATGATCTGTAGACCCTATGTTATCCAGGACCGTGCTCCTGATGGAAAGCAGACATGCACAAAGCGTTGCCCAATACAGCCTATATCTAAAGATCCAACGGACCAAGTGACAACAGGATCTGAGATGAACTTTAAAACTGCAAGCATCGGGAGCCTGCTGCACGCAGATGACAAACACCAGCACGAGCACACAGAAAGATGAGCTGCAACAGAGCTGGGTCAGCAATAGCCTGGGAGAAGGAGACAAATCAAGCTCTCCCAGCACAGGAAAGCCTGAAAAAAATTATGGCTACTTTCTCTCTACATACGCACATACACCATGGAGCTGAATTAACAGAGAGGAAAAACAAGTCTACACTAAAGGACAGAAGAAATTGGTATAAAATGATAGCTACACTATCACAGCTAATGAGTAGCAGTTTAGAAAGGGTTCCTAACCAGTAGAGGAAGCCAGCACTGTAACAGCCGATAATGGGAAATAGTAAAGAAAAAAGGAAAACTCCTTTAAAGAAGGCATTCAGTAATATATATGAAAGGAATGTCAACATGATGCCTACAACAGGCACCAGACTCAGCAACAGGAGATGTACTAAGTGCTGTGTTTCTAAAATAAAAAAAAAAAAAAAAAAAAGGAAGTTACTAGTTTGCAGAAGGTTTTTCTGGACATCTCAAAAAAAAAAAAAAAACCAAACTTGAATAAAGCTTCCAGAGTTCTGCAGCTACGAGAAGAGATCAAACACCTACAAATAACTTGGCTTGGCAAGACAGGTTTCCTTTCCAGATCTACAGTCACTCAGAGCCCTGCTGTGCCTGGCAGGTTAAGCACACTGTCCCCCGGGACAAGCAGCCCTGACTGGCTGCTCAGGACCAGCTTTTCCATCTGCTCCATTTGACCTCTAGTTCTCTTTGCTGGAAGCTTTCATACTTGTTGGGAAGGATCTGCATTCTCTCTTGATAACAAGCTCATAAATACCAATTTTCTGCTCCTATTAAGAGAAACACATTAGAAAAGCTAAAATCTCAGAATTAATGTTCAAGTTTTTGTCAAAGCCAAGGAACTCTGAGCAATCCAACACCAAGACAGCCTCAACACAGAGCCCAGACAAGAACGATGGATGAGGTGCAATCCTCCTTCCCTTGCCCCCCAAACGTGACACTCCCACCAGTATGAATCAGCTCCCTGTGCTGGCTCAGGCTGCCAAGGAGGCACCAAGGCAAACAGGGCTACGCTGCATACACACCAGCTACTGGCCCACACAGAAGTCAAAACAGCCTAAAATATGAGAGGGAAGAGTTCACATCACCACCTCCTGAATCACCCAGGGCTGGAAATGAAACAGGGAACGTTTTTCCCCACATTGTTTTGTGCCTGCGCCACTGGTAACTTTCTCTTTCTCATCCGATAACAGTTATCTACATAAGCAAAGAAGGTCAGCCCAGTCCTCAGTGGGGGTTAGCAATACAGACTCCAACTAGTCTTCACTAGCAGTTCTTTATATACAATATACACTTAACACATTTTCCATTTTCTTTATCTAATAGCAGACGTGTGCTCCCCTCATGGGCCTGGGCAGTAATCTAGAAATTACTTCCGTCTTAGCACATGAAAGCCACTTTAATAGGACGGAAGTGCCTATCTTAGCAATTAGAGGATACTGGTTTTTATGGTGGTGACTGCTGCTTACCCTCTGTTTGCAACGTTTACAGCCAAATGAGTTCAGTTCTGCAACAGGAGCTTTGTAACTCCAACACTATCTCACCCAGTGCAGTTAAGATTTACATAGCTTTGGAAATTTGACTGTATTATTTCCATTATTTTGCCATGTTATCAGAAATACAATTTACAGTTCCAAGACTGAAGGGTTTCTCTGATCTAAAAGAGCAGAAGAAACAAGCGCACTAAAGAACTTCTACAAGCTACTAGTACCGTACAGCATCTATACTCTAATTAAACAGGTAGCTCGGTCCAAAGATGTCATTCTCCACACCAATTCTTTACAATACAATCAGTAAAGTGATTTCAGAAAATACATCTGCACCTGTGCTGCTGTGCCATATAACCAGGAAGCTGGTTCCTGACAGTTTAGCATGAACACCAACTCCACCTTCCAATTAAGCAATAACGACCTAGAATATGTGCATTTGTAATTAACACATCTATTTTTGGAGTGGATGTTGCCTCACATTTCTTCGTGAGCCAAGATGATCAACAATTTAATTACAGGGAATTGCTACTTGTTGTATTTCATCTAAACCTCTTTTAAAAGTGCTTAAAGGAACAAAACATCACACAATCATGTCTAAGATGTTAGCCTAGGATGCAAGTCACAGGATTTTGACACACTAGCTGTGAGGACACCTAATGGATGCAAATTTCTTTGCATTTATTTAGCAAAGTTACCCAGTGGCAATAGGTACAAGGCTGAAAATATCCCCTTAGACTTGGAATTTGCCTTGAGAAAGCCTGCAATGCTGCTATCCCTGCATATTTGCAACTCATTCTACCACTGATGGGCTGCACCTGGCACTCAACTTCTCCAGGACACTGACTAATGCACCAAACACTACCCAATTATAATCAGTTTGTATTTAAGATGCCATACCTTGCAAGTATTTCTGTATTTTCTACAAAAAAAAGCATGTAAGTTGATACAACTCTAGGGCATAAACTACTCCAGATATTTTGATAGAAGGTCATTGCTTTATTGCATCCCAGGAGACTAGAGAAACGTGTTAAATCTTTTTATATTGCAAGTATTTGACCTTCCTGAGCTGAGCATCTGAGAGACATACACGGGAACGAGCATACCAGCGCAGCAGCAGGGCAGGAGAGTGCCTGAAGAACTATATATTCAGCCTTGATTTAACAAGCAGTAGTACTATCAGTTGGCTCAACGCAGAGTAATAGGATACTGTGTTGAAAGCTTTTTTATTAACTGGAGCGACTGTGTTCCTTGCTTGAATGTTTCTGTTCACAGATCTTCAACACAACTCTCCAGTTCCTGGAGGTCAAAAAAAACTTCTGAAGATGGCCAATATGGAAATTTAGTCACAAAACTCCAGTCTCTGCCATAGAACTTCCCTGATTTGAGACAGCATTCTGACATTCTGATGCGAATTACTGCATCATGTAGAGACCACAGTCTGAACCTTGTCCTTCAAAAAAATATTGCAGTGACTAAGATCATCGCTATCTGTCACACTGCTCAGGGGTCAGCTAGCACTCACTGCACCAGGTCCTCCTAAAGCTTGTCCTCTCTCACACTTGCGAGTATACTTGGAAGTATCCACCACTCCTGGATCAAAAAAAGATCAAAACATGACATAAGGACCTATATTTAAGGTTTGGGGTTTTCTGGGGGGGGCGGGGGTCATACATTTTCATGGAAAGAAAGGAATCAATGATAATTTTATTCCACTGAAAACCCCGTCCTGCCTGGTGGGTAATTTAGCAAAATATAAGTACCACTATTTTCTAAGGACTGGTTTTCTGTGGACTCAAGCAGATCTGATTTTATGACAGAACCTCCTCCAAATTCATAGCTAGGGCATCCCTAAACCACAGGGTCTTCTCCTGAATGACCTCTGTGCTTGAAGGTATAGGACACAGAACAGAGGACAGGAAGAGAGATGATCTTGCTGTGTAATGGGGTGGGAGGGAAGTAATATTTAAGAAATTCACACTTGAAATGATCCTCAAAAGGATTCTTTGATTTTCACAAATTTTTCCTACTAAGAAAAATTCTTAACAAAATTTAGTCATTCTGGCCTGTCTACAATAAGAAAAGAGGTGTGACATACCAGCACCCCCCTGACTGGAGATGGAGAGGCAGTACTGACATCTCCCTACTGCGTTGTCTTTTTAGGTATAAGCTTTGGACACACTGCTTCTGCAACACTAAGCCAAGCAACAAATTTATCAAATATGTCAAGGATCAGATATCCCATGCCCACAGACATTCACACGGTCACATTTGTTAGAATTTTATTCTAAATAATTTAGCATGGGTTTCTATAATGCAGAAGTCCTGTAAGAAGGATATAAGTCTATTTGTGATGATTTCACCACATAGGTACACAACTGCAGAAGTGATCTCAGAAACAGAGATTCAGATTTAGTTTTCTCCCATTTCCCTAAAACATTGCTAAAAACCTATTTCATCATATTACATATTAGGAAACACTAAAAAAAGATAAGTGATGATAGAAGGATCAGTCCCACATTGCAAGAAGGAACTAAGTTGATTCACAAATGTTTCTTTAGTTGCCTGATAACACCTGCATCTATGAAGGCTGATTCCATATGTTAGCAGAAATCAGACTTTACAGCTTTAACCCATAAATGTAAAATCCAACCCTCATTATTTTGAAGTTTCTACCAAAGTATCCAACCTAAAACCGCCCTGGGATTAACTGCAAGGAGTACAAGAGAGAATGCATTAGTCCAGCAATGTCTTCAACACCATGAAACACTGAGGGATACAGTATGTCCTTCACCACTCTTCCCACTACTGCTACACTCTCTCAATGTGACAGTTGATTTTGACACGTCAGGAATCTTCTGCTCAAGTCACAGGCTCTTCTAGAGGAGTTACGGCACAGTTCTGCAAGATAAACCAACATCTACTAGTACCTGAGCGAAACCAAAATCATCTCCAGCCCAATACAGATGTGAATCTCTTCTGAGAAGCAAACAGGCAAGTGCCTCCTATCAATGGGCTAATGGCAATACCACTCCAAATGAGTCCCAAATAGCAAATAAAGAAAAATTAAGATGTTATACCATTTATACCATATAAACCAGCCATCATTTCTAATCATCATGAACTGTTATACAAGTTGCAGCTATCACAAAACTTTAATATTCCTTAAAGAAAAAGACACCAGCCTCTTTGATAGGGGATCATCACCAACATCCATGCTACCATATCAACATTCAGCACACATGATTTCCTCTTTGAAGAAAGCCAGGCCTCCTGTCAGCTTGCAAGAGTAAAGCTGCAGCCACATAGACCTGTTTCATTTCCTATACCATTTCTCTGTATAGCTCTCCAGTATTGTACAGTACAACCAGAAACGCAGCTCGTTCTGGATCAACAGCTTGACACTGGCTGGAACAAGGCAGAGAAATCATCTGGCCTTTCTACATCCCTTTGAGAACTACTTCCTGAGGTTCAAACCAATTAGCTACAGACAGCACCAGTTAACTTCCAGAGGTCCACTACAGACAGAACCAGTTAACTTCCAGAAGTCCAATCTTGGTACAAGGGATCCATAACCAACTACAGATGCAGCTAGACAGCTTTATACCACTTCCTCTTCTGTAGTAGATGCTGGCTGATGTCTTGGAAAGACTAAGTGCTCTGTTTGCATGCCTAATGATTACCATGCAGAGAGAGATACAGAATAAATTATAACAGAAACAGCCATTATTTCTAATCACCATAAACTATTTTTCCTGTAAACTTCAATCACCGTTAATCACTGTCTCTTCCTTGCGATTGAGGAAACCCAGTGCAATTAAGGGGGTAGAGTAATATACCTGCAACAGCACTAGGCAATTAATAAGATTTGGCTTATCATTTGTCTAAATTATTTAAAATGTTACTAGAAGTTTAAAGATTTTGTCTCTCTTTTACAACAGGAAAGCTGTTCATTTCTCTCTGTAAAGTATACATACACAGATAAAATCACATGAGTCTAATAAAAGAGACTAAGCTCTAAATTGCATTGCAGGACATTTTTTCAGGTCAGAAGTAGTCACTGAAGCTTTCTCTACCCATTCTCCAGGTTTAAGCACCTTTTAAAAATGCTGACAACAGAATAGTATCAGTGTTCCAGTATCAGACTCACCTGTTGTACCTAGAGACATCACACACCTCCACCCTCCTACCTACTATTCCTTATTTATACAGACAAGGATCACAATAGCTCCAATGTCACATCCGAAATGTACGCTGTTGCTTGCTTACCCCGACCTCTGCATCCTTTTCAGAGCTGCTGCTATCCCACATGCAAGCTGGAGGGAGCAGGCAACTCATTTGTTAATTTACATTAACAGCATTCAACACGCTCCAAGACTGGATCGAGCTCAGAAAATGGTATTAAACACCTTGGTTAAGAACTCTCTTTACAGCATTAAATAATCTCATAATTCTGCAACTATATTTGTAGGTAAATCATGAAAACACTGAATAGTAAGAAGCTTCCTGGTAACCCAAGGAAAGCATCACCCACTCGAATTGTCAGATTAGGAGGCAATTAAGCACCAATCTTTCTCTTAAATTTGCATAAATCCCTCCTTTCCTCCACCAGGTTTCCAAGGTGGCCAAATAAAGGCACATTTTTTCAGGTGTTTAGTAGCACAAAATCTCACAGCAGCAGGAAAATGTTGGGTCTGATCCCTGTCCTTCTTCCCCACATCCCCAGTTACCACCTCCAGCACTCAGACTGTTCACTGAGCCTTTCCAGCACAGGAGGACAACTCAAAACTAACTCAAAATACATAGATAGTTTTCTTTGTCAACTTAGCATGCTGAAAAGGCTCAGGGAAGCAACTGAGCAGGGGGGGGTTAAAACAAATACAGAATAAGACCACTGTAGCCATATTGGTTTAGGCTACGAGGAGTCTCAGAACAATGTTCATTATGGCTAAAATGATTGTACCACTGATAAAAGCATGGGCTCCTGATTCCAGCAACAGAAAGCTGAAAAAAAAAGTAGTCAAAACACACCAATTTCTCCTGGGTTAGCTGCAAAGGGTGAATGAAGAAAAAAGTGCAAGGGAGAAAGCGAGACCATGTATCTGGAGCAGGGACAGAAGAAAAGCTCTTAACAAGAAAGAAACCGCATAACATGAGATTTTTTTCTAAATTAATCAGCAGCAATTTAAAGGTGGCACTTGAGTAGATCTGCTCACCTGTGATGCACAGCTTATCACTGGGCCAAATTTCTCGCCACTGCTCTAACTAACCTCCATTGCTCTGCATCACACCACTGCACCATCTGTCGTTGTATCCATCAGAAAAACCATAATACAAAAACCTATGAGAAAACCTATTCCCCAAGATCTCAATCACTGAATTGTTTGGCCAAGACAGAAGATTTCAGCCTTAAGCACACATTAATGAAAAATGTGACTTTCACAAGCTGATATCCAGCAAAGCATGACTGAGCTCACAGCAAAGAGAACAGCAATCTTAACCGCATCTTGTGGCACTTGGAGATGGACACCTGAAAACAGAAGGGATATACAGGGCACTGCAAAAACTGATTTGAGAGACAAGACTGTTACTTCACATTTTAAGACCTTTTTGGCCACTTGCTGATGTTATCTAAGAGTCACCGATAAGGGATTATTTTTTTTTTTAAAACAAATACAGAATAAAACCACTGTACAACACTTAAAGTGTGTTTTAACACAACACAATTTAGACCCACATCACAGGATGATGCTTGGCTGGTGCCCACAGGGCAGAGGAGTCTCTAGGGCCTCAAAGAACCCTACACCCATAGGTGCCTGCCCTATATCCCACAGCACTGAGGAGTCACCAGGGCCTCAGTCCCCCCTTAGGGGACTCTAAAATGCTGCCACACACCCCATGGAGACAGGAGTCACCTCAGCCTCATGGAGGCCCCTCAGGGGATCCCACAATCCTGCCCCACATCCCACAGCACCAAGGGGTCACCCCACTCTCACAGCATCCTTAGAGGACCCTCTACACAACGTGCTTAGAGGACCCTGCCCGACAAGTCACAGGGAGAGGGGTCACCACAGCCTCACAGCACCCCTAGGGCAGCCTAAAATCCTGCCCTGTTCCCCATAGGGCCTGAGGGCTGCTGCAGCCTCACAGTACCCTTATGAAACCCTAAATCCTGACAGCAGCACCAGAAGATCACTAGGGCTTCATAGCACTCTTAGGGGACCCCACAATCCTGCCCCACACCCCATAGGGAGAGGGGTCACCCCAGCCTCATGGTGCTCCTGAGGAAGCCCTAGAGGCTCACCCCACAGCACTGAGGGGTCACCACAGCCTTACAGCATCCCTAGGACACCCTAAAATCCTGCCCTGCATCCCACAGGGCCACCGCAACCTCACAGCACCCTTAGGAAACCCTAAATCCTGCCTCACACCCACAGGGAGGGTGGTCACCCTGGCCTCACAGTGCTCCTGAGGGAACCCCACAGTCCTGTCCCACACCGCACATCACCAAGGGGCCACCTCTGCCTCACGGCACCCCTGGGGGACCCTACTGTTCTGCCCCACAGGGAGAGGGGCCACACAGCGCCCTCAGGGCCCCCCACACCACTGGTGGGGTCACCACGGCCTCACAGCACCCTGAGGAGAGCCCACACACCCCCAGGACTGAACGACCACCCCGGCAGCGGGGCTGCGAGAAGTCACCGAACTACCCCGGCGCCCAGCGAGGAGCAGAAGCGGAGAGGGGTAGCGGGGAAAGAGGTAGCAGAAGGAGGAAGCGGGGGGTGGCTAGCGGCGAGGGCGGGAAGGGTCCGTCCCTGTTCCCCCCCACCGCCACTTACCCGCCCCGCCATCTTGCCGCTGCGCCCAGCCCGCAGCGCCGCGCCGCCTGCCAGCCGCGC